GGTTCTCCACTTGGTCTTTGCTGGAGGATGGCGTGTGTAGCCCCAGGTTTTCTCTGTGGTGTTTGGCTGGAGTGAGTCATTATGTTCTAAAAGTTTTCCATCTTGCAAGATATACCCTTTCCTGGTCCCTGGCTGGAGAGAACAGGCTTTTGTTGGGGTCTTTTTTGTCTGCACCTGTTGGTGTTTCATGGTTACTGATTTCTTCACTTCCAAGTATGGAATATATGAGGAAAAAAGAAAACTCAGAGGACTCACCAGCATGTTGTTGCTTGGATCTTGAGACCCCTAGCCAGTCCACCTTCCTTGCATCTTTGAGAGTCTTCTTATGTTTCTTTTGTATACAATATCCAGGATTTTTAGTTGTACTTAGCAGGAGGAATAGGAAGATGTATGTTTACTCCATCTTCTTGGAAGTGGATGTCCAAACTATAATAATTAAACAGTGTAAAATGTGGAAGTGTTAAATATAGCAGGAATAAACAGAGCAGTCAAATAGATAAAAACTACTTTAAAAAACAGAATTCTTTAGCAAGCATTGAGAAATTATCTACCTAACTGGAAAAAGCAGAATTATATCTCTGCACATATAATAATTCAAAATACATTCCAGATAGATTAATTGTAGATTTAATTAATTTTTAAAGTACTGCTATATATGGGAAGAACATAAGCACATTATATAATCAGATAGTAATAAATTTGTAACATTCTACACACAAATGATGGCTGTCTAAAATACAAATAATTCTTATAAATCATTAAGAGAAATATGAGTACTATAGTTAAGAAACAATTACAAAAAGGCTCAAAGAGATCATTTGCATAAAGAACATAGTAGCTAACAAATATGGAAAAATGCTCGCCTTCTCAAGTAATTGGAGAAAGGAAAATGAAACAAATTAATTCCTTTGGGTTTTGGTTTGGTTTAGTTTGGCTCCTTTTGGGCCCTTTAAATAAAATGAAAGTAACAAAACTTCAGGCCGGTGCTCTGAGCTAGGTACTAACTGATAAAACCAATTGTGGTGGGAACCACATTAACACAACCTTCTTGGCAGAAGATTTTCCAATAAGTATCAAAAGTCACAAAGATCATGATTCCTTTTGACCAAATCATTCCATTTTGGAGAATTTATCCCAAGAGAAAGAAGATTAACATAAAGATTCATGGACAAGAGAGCTAATAATGTACGTATTAACAATAGTAAAAAGTAGTATAAGACTAAAGATCCCAACAATGAACAATTGGTTAAATAAATATTGGCATATCCACAGAAAAGAAAACCATATGTTTATTATAAACGATGTTGTACAAGAATATTTAATGCCATGGAAAAAATGCTCATAATTCATCACCAAGTAAAAAACAAAAAGCATATTACAAAGCAGATTAGATACTGATGCTATTTTAATAGGTTAAAATGTTTATAGAAATGGCATATTAAGAAAACACATTGAAATATCAGCACTTGAAATTTAAGTATTGGAACTATGATTAATTTTTATTTTTCATCTTTATATTTTTCTCTTTTCAAAATGTCTTTTTAAAAGCATGCTTTTACATTTAAAATAAAACAATAAGTGGATGTTCGGGATCTCTATTTCTTGGAGACAATTTCCACTGCTTAGTGCTGTCATCTGAGAGGCAAGCTCTTTTTAGCTTTTTATTCTGCCATCCGTAGCATTTTGGTTTTCTTTTTTAAGCTTGTTGCTTCATTGTTACAAGATGGCTGTTGCACCTCGAGGAATCACATCAACACTCCAGGTAGATAGAAGGAGGAAAAGAGTCCATCGATACCCTCTTCTTATCAGGACTCTTTCCCAGAAACCCCCTTCAGCAGACTTGCTTACATCTCACATGGCCAACCTAAACTCAAGGAGAGCCAAGGAATAAGTAAACAAATTTCCAGACCCTAGAGTAGATGATGGCAAGAGAGAAGGGCCTAGAAATGGATGCCGAGTCAGCCAACTGCAGTTTGTACATTGTATTTTTATGTAGAAAATTAAAAGCATATTTTGTAGAGTACAGCAATCGAATGTAGTGACAACCAAAATATGCAAGAATTGTGTTTTGCAGGCCCTGTAGAAAGCATCTGTGACATCTGACCATTAAAAGGAGTTAGGGGATGTACTTTCAAACTATTCAGGCTCTGATCCCTACATTGCAGGGGTGTGACACTATAAATTGTATGTCTTAATACTGAGAAAAGATTAGAAGGTCGATGTCGAGTACACATATCTCTACCATAAACTCTCTCGCAGGCACGTTGTGGATGCGACGGGGAGAGCGCTTTCAAGCTGGGTTTGGTTACATGAAACCTGAGTCAGCCGTGCAACGACTGCAAAAACATCATCAAAAAGCGGGATTGGTTGTACAACTGAAGGTAGCAAGCTGTTGGACAAAGAGCAAAGCCTGGGGTTCTGGAGATCTGAGGGTTCCATCACTCTCTGCTGCTAACAGCTGTGTGCCCGGGGACACATAATTAACGTTGACCAACTTCGGTTTCCTAATCTGTAAGCTCAGGGAGTGTGCAGAAAGGACTTAAGCACTCTGCTTAAGCACTCTGAACACAAGATGACTATATCCTATTATAATTGATATATTCTGAAAATTAACAACTGAACAGGTAATGAATCACACTAAACTTCTCACCGTGAGCTGACAGAAAGGAACACAGAGAGATCCAGAGGAACAGAGATGTGAGGAATCATTGGCTCCATGTCAGCTGCCATCATTCATGGTAGATGGTACAATCCACAGGGGAAATACAGCAGATATAAACCCTGAGAACCCAAGAGAACTCTATTGACATTATTTTTGTTCAGTTGGAGCAAGGGCTTAGCAATGCGATTTATTGAGCCCACTCAACTTAAGATTTGTAGTCCTTATTGATTTCGTTTCACTAACTAAAAAGAAGACACCTCAATAGTGAAACCAACGACAATGGTCAGGAAGCTGTCACTGGTAGGTACTAAAATCCTTCAGTCCAGGAATCAGAGGCCATATAAGGAACCCTACATTGGTACCATCAGATGTATCAACCTTCATGTTCAGATGAAAGCGATGGCTGTGATGGAGTTGGAATTCTCACTCCATCACTTAGAGCTATGCAATAGTCAGCAAGTTACTTAACCTCTCTGTTCCTCCATCTGTCATCTGTAAATTGGGGGACAATAATTGTACCCAATCCTAGAACTGAGTAAAATTTAAAAATTTTAGTCCAATGCCTAGTCTGTAGATTATTATTATCAGAGAGGTAAGTTTTAATTCTTCAAGTAAGACAATGAAGTTGCAGCTAAGCTTATAAACTGTTACGTACTTAGTAACTTGTGGTGGATTTCTTAATTTGGGGAATAGAGTTTCTCTATGCAGAAATGTACAGAAATGGCAAAAGTAGGAAGTTTCCCATGAAGCTTGGGGAAGTTTTTAATAAAACACATTCAAGAGAATATGTACAATTTGGCAGAGAGTTGTTGCCTGATGCAGCTCAGGTACCTCTGCTCCCTGGAAGACGGCACAGAACAGAAGAGATAGAAGATCTCGACAGAGCAGGGGTAGAAATATGTCTTTGGATTTGGCTTGGACTATGTCTTTCAATAAAAAATGATAATTTAACTGGATATGGTCATGGAAATAGAATTGGAAGGGTTTGTGACTATTGTTGATTCCTACTTCTCTGGTTGGAAGCCTCTCCTGGATCCTTAACAGATGGTCCACTTCCAGTCCCTTAATATGGAGTGTTAAAATAGATCTTCAGATCAGTGGGGAAAGATTGGGTTGTTCATTAAATAGTGTTGAAACAGCTGGCTAACTGTGTGGAAAAACAAAGTTAGAACCCAATTTCAAACCAAAATAAACCACAGATGGGTTAAATATTTAGAGAAATAAAGAAACATGAAAATTTCAGAGGAAAGACAGGTAAATAGCAACAGACCTATATTACGAGAAAAGGCTTTATGACTATAGTACTTACAGCAGAAATTATAATGGGAAACATGACTGTTGCTTGCATTAAAAAACTTAAAATGTCCCTTTATAAAAAATACCATAGACAAAATAAGGAAAACAGTAACTTAAGGAAAATAAGTTCAATATATCAGGTTAAAGGGTTACTATCTTAAATACAGAAAGAGATTTTATAGGTGAATTAGGAAAAAGATGCTGTGTCCCCTTCTTCTCTACCCACCCTAATGTAGTAGTGACTATAAACAGGATATTTTAAAAAGAAGAAAGACATATGGCTAATAGATGTGAAGAAAATTCAGCCCCACATGTAACCAGCTACTTTTCATCTATCAAATTGTCAAGGATGAAAAGCAACAACACTCCCGGTTAGAGAAAGCCTTGGGCAGGAATATGCAGTTGTGTACATGAATGCTGGCGATGTAAATACACAAGAACTTTTTGGAGAGCTGGTGAGCCATGTAGATAATTTTTTAGAGAAAAGTCTTTGACAACTTCTAATAGTTATCCTTAGAAAATTATCGATGCCTAGAGATTTAGATCAAGGATGCCCACTGCAGCATAATTGGCACTCTCAACATAGAAAGTTGAGACATCTGTCATCTGGGGCTGGTTCATAAGGTCACGCGTCACTTAATGACGAGGATATGTTCTGAGAAATGCATTGTTAGGCGATTTCATTGTTTTGAGGACATCACAGGGCGAACTTACACAAACCTAGATGGTATAGCCTGTCACACACCTAGGCTATATGGTACTAATCTTATGGGACCACTGTTGTATATGCTCTGTCATTAACCAAAACGTCATTTTGCGGTGCATAACTGTAATTAAGACTTAGTTTCCATGATGGAATACTATGAAACCTTTTTTTAAAAAGTAATATGTCGATACAGAATGTCATCACAATTTTAAATAAAACACGAGCATAGTATAAGTCATTTATATTAAAATTCTCTATCTTGCTGTGTTTAGTACTTTTAACTTGCATCATGAAAGAATATTAATAAATGGCTGAAAATAAGTATCCCCTCCCCAGGCCAGTACTCCTCAGGACTGTCAAGGTCACGAAAAACAAGAAATGACTAAGAAACTGCTGCAGACCTGAGGAGGCTGGGAAGACTTGACAGCTAAATGCAGCGTGGCGCCCTGTGCTGGATCCTGCGACAGAGGACGTCAACAGAAAACTGATGAAATCCAAATGCACTCTGGAGTTTAGTTAAGAATAATGCACCAACGTCAATTCCTTGGTTTTGACAATGCACCACAATAATGTAAGGTGTGAACAATGGAGGAAACTGGGTAAGGGGCATGTGGGAACTCTCTTTATTGTACTATCCTTGCAGCTGTTATGAAAATCCAAAATTATCCCCAAATAAAAAGTTTACTCAAAATATCGAGACATTTTTTCAAAAGGTATATACCTAAGGAGTTAGATTGGGGTAAGAGACCTAAAGACTTTCAGATTCAATGTGTATAATTGTTTACAAAGACTATTCACATTATACAACGAAGGATAAACTTATTTAAAAGTAAAATGATATTATAGAAGCATATTTATGAAAATTAAATAATAAGAAAAAACAAATTATAACATAGCAATGATCCTATTTAAATATTTTTTAAGTTGGTGATTTGTTTTTTCTTATTTTTATATTCTAATTTTAAAACAAACATGTATTACTTATAGGATAAAAAATAATTAAAGTTTAAAACATTCCTGAAGGAAGGCATTGGTCAGGTGCAATTCTCAGACCTCTGGTGTTGTGAGTTGGAATCAGGGGTTTCTTGGTCGTGTACCTGTGCCTTCAAACATTGGCATCACAGAAACTTTGTCTCTTTCTTCTGTGATACATTTAAATAAATATATCTTTACTTTATCTATGACCCAACATATCTTGTCTCCGCTCAGGTCAGTCCATTCAAGACAGAAAGGTATAGATGAGAATCTTGATAGAAATAAAAAGAAAAAGAGAGAGAGCGAGAGAGAATAATTTAACAGCACGAAACATTATTTCTTGCTGGGTTGGTTATTTATAATACGATTTTCAGAGAAAATGACAGCCAGCTGATAAGAGAAAATACAGAATCACTAAACTTAAACACTGCTGTTGGAAAACTGAAGACAAAATGTAAATAACCATTTTGCCTATTTCATGTTTATCACATAATCATAGCACTACCATATTTGGAATAAATAGCTTAGTATTTGAATGCAGATGTAACTGATATTTATTGTAATATTTTGGACATGTATCCACATAATGCAATCTTTTCATATGCTTGTCTTACCCAGAAATGAATTTGCTGGATGGCTTCCAGGCTGTAATTTGGATCTATAAGAATGTAAATACCACATAATTGAGTTCCCAGCAGCTTTTAAGCTCATGGAGATTAAGCAAAGGCAGATGAAGGCGACTTCAGAGGCCCTAGTGACACAACTGCCCACGTCACTTCCCCCCTCCTCCGCCGAGGGCCTCCCATTCTCTTGGGCCATATTTCAAATTTTATTTCTGTGATTCTCACAGACTTTATGGGTTTCAAGAGCCTTCCTCACAAACATAATGACTTATCCTCTGAGGGTTGCCGACAAGTCATCTGGTAATTATAAAGCAGTGCATAAAGTACTGTAATTGGTGAAAATGTAAGATTTCACAGGATATCAAAAGAGAGGCACCTTGGAACATAGATACCCGGGCACTTGAAAGGCTTGCCAAGCTAGGTGGAACATCTAACGTTAGGCTTGAAGGATGAGCAGTCATTTCTCAGGTGAACTGGAGAGCAGGAAGAAGGAACAGTGTTCCAGGCAAAGGCAACTGCATTTGCAAAAGCCAGGCAGGAGATAGGATAGAGCCTGAAGGAACTGGACAGAGCAATGGAGCATAGAGTGTTAGAGGGAGGGGTGACGGCTGGGCCAGAGCGGGAGGAGTGGCCCCATCATGAAGGGCCTTGAAAGCCGTATTAAGGAGGTTGGATTTTATCCCAAGGGTTTTATGTGCTGAATTGCATCCCCTCCTTCCAAAATTCATACATTGAAGCTCTAATGCTCAGTAGTTCAGAATGTGACTGTATTTGGAGAGAGGGTATGTAAAGAGGTAATTAAGTTAAAATGAAGTCCTTAAAGTCAGCTCTAATCCAACACGGCTGATGTCCTTATAAGAAGAGGAAGAGACACGAGGGCTGGGCACACAGAGGAAAGATCACGGGAAGATGCAAGGAGAAGACAGATGTCTACAAGCCAAGGAGAGAGGCCTCGGAGTGAAACCAAGTCAACCTTGATCTGGGATTTCCAGCCTTCAGAACTGTGAGAAATAAATACTTGTTGTTGAAGTTACTCAGTCTGTGGTACTTTGTTACTGAAGCCCAAGCAAGCTCCTACTAAAGCAGGTAGGAGGAAACTGGTTAGATTTACCATTCTGAAAAATCCTTCAAGCTGATGGACAGAAGAGATAGCTGATGATTGCAGCTGCTGTGGAGGCTGTGCAGACTGTAGTCAGGACACTCACGAAGGGCGACTTCTAAATAGACGACAGTACAAATCTTGTGCCCACAGGTTGTATAACACCCACTTTGCAACCGCACAGCTGCATGAGGCAACCCTGATGACAGCAGATAGGTAAAGGAATCAGGAAGAAGTGAATAGATTTGAGAAAGACTCAATGATTTTTGAAAATTGGTTGAATACTGCTAGTAAGGGAGAGGAAGAGGTAAAGGATGAAGCTGTTTTCAATCTTGGGCAACTGGGTGGGTGGGGACACTTGCCGGTGCATAGGAAACTGAGGACGAAGAACCACTTAGAGAGGATGATTGGGTCCTTTTTGGCTTCCAGTTTAAGGAATCAAATGAAGGTGTCCAAGTGGAGGTTTTCAATAGGAGATTGGAGACGTGAAGACACAGAATTTTATATGCATCACGATTTAAAGAGTCCGGTATTTTAAACCACAGAGGTTGATAAGAACAGAAAGAGTAATGTGTAAAATAAGAAAACAGCATAAAAGAAGTAAAAATAGGCCCTGCTGGCATCCCAACTCCTAAGTCAGAGGCTCATTATGGGAATGAGGCAGAAAACTAAGAAATATGGCGTCACCCATTCCCTTTCCCTCTTCTACCCACCCACTGGTTTCAGGAACAGTCAGCTCTTCGTGTCTAAACAATTGATGCTTGGCAGTGCCCTGGAAACATGGATAGTACATGCATGGAGTGATTCCCTCATTTGTTCAGCAAATACTAGGTGCCTACAGTATGTCAGATACTGTGCTAAGATTCTGTTAGCTAATAAAAACTGTCATGTTGTTCCCATTCTCAGCACAACCCAGATGCTTGGTCTGTTGCAGGGCCCCCAGAATTGTCATTCTAGAGACAGCATGGAAGAGCAAGGCTAGGTCTCTGCTGAATGCATAGCTGAAGTTGCTTCAAGAAAATATGTAGATTTGGAAAAGGTAGAAACAAGGCCACTGCCCCTCTCCTTTTATCATCACACATAATCAAGCGTTAACTATAACGTAGCTGAAGGTGGTACTTTGCATTTGGCATTATCTGAGCTGAAGTTCAGATAACACTAGTTATTACCTACTCCCCAAGTATCTTTTTTTATTCATTCATATACCTGAGTGCTTTTGTCTAGTTATTGGGGAGGATGGATTTAGGAATGATGCTTTGCAACAGGGCAAGCTAGGACAGAGGAGGCTGCGTGGAAACCACAGCTGACTGCCTGGTTTGTGCATACCTGGGAGGAACCCCTTAGGGACCACCTGAAAGTAATTGATGGCCAAGAGGAGAGGAGGATTTATTCTTGTTTGAGCTCAAAGTATTATAATTTGGGTACAGATATAAATGTAATCCCATTACCAGCCCCAGGCTGGTGAGGCCCAGAAACATTTGGGCAACATGAGATAAGCAAATATATATTCAAATCCTCTGGGAACCAGGGATAAGACCGTCTTGTTTTGTTCTGTTTTGTTTTAAAGAATACTTACAACATGAAATAACCATTAATGTTGATGTTTGACTTAAGATGGCAGTTTATTCAGCTTAGTAGCTCCATCAAGAGCAAAAAATTCATATGCAGGAGATTATAGGAAAGCAGGAAGCTTTAGCCTTTTGGCAGAAGGAAAGAGAAATAGTCAGCCATGACCAGAAGTCAACAATCCTTAAGCGGGTTGTAAAATCCAGACTGGAAACAATGGAGAAAACCATAATTAGCCATCCAGCCATGTCCCTGTGAGAGGATGGTGACACCACAGGAGGATCTGGACTTGAATGAGAGAAAGGTTTACATTTCTCCCAATTCTGGGTCAAATTTGATTCTAAGGCATTCTAAGGGGGCATTTCAAGTGCTTTTGTTGTTTCATTCTTGTTCAGTACAATTTCAGCCCAAATGAGGAATCGCCTGGGGCTGGGAACTCTTTGGTTATAGAAATATGAGAAATGTAACAGAATTCTATCCAGTCCATAGAGAAATGAAAAATCTACAAGTAGAAACTAATTCTAGAAAACATACTCTGCATAGATGGATGTGTCTCCACCCAGTGTTCACCTGCCTTTGTTTTCTCATCATGCTGTAACATGGGTGAGCTGCCTAAAAAATAGCCATGGGACTTTATTGAGTTTATTGAGATTCTGATTCAGAAGGTCTGAAGCGGAGCCTCGGATTTTACATTTCCAAATGACACTGATGCTGTTGGTCCAAGTAGCACTTCAGTAAGTTTACTATTCTTATAACATCCCATAGACGGAGAAAAATCTCAGCGCCCTTTCCACCTAGCACTGCAGGAGAAAACTATCAGCTACAGAGCAATAATTTTCCTTGTGTCAGGCAAGGGTTTAATTCTAGGCTGCCTTCACATGATGGATGAGCCCTACAGATAATTACCAATTTAAAGTAAAGAGAGATCAATGTCAACTTTCTTAATCCCTGTTATCTGTTGCAGTTACAAAACACCATGTTCCAAAATACTGAATTTACTCAGAACTCTTCAGTTACTGGCAAACTGTCCATGCTACACATCTAATTTCAAATCTGCTTAGCTGAAAAGCATGGAAACTGTGTTACGGTCACTTCATGGAAGAGAGAGCACTGCGCTGGGATGCAGGAGACGTGAAATAAAGTCCCTGCTTTGTCACTCACTCGCTGTGTGACTTTGGGTAATGCCTTCCCTCCCTCTGTAGCTCAAATGTGAAGCAGATAGGACTGACTAGATGCTCTCTAGGAACACTTTCAGCTCTAGGGTTCCACATGCTATATAACATATTGGAACATAATTTAAGTTCTCACCAATTATTAGGAAGGTGTCTGGGGGGTGGGGTTAGTCATGAGTATTGATCCCCACAGTTTCACATCAGTGAGAACAGAGAGGTGAGCGCATAGTGGTAGGGGGCAC